TTCTTACTATAATCGAAGATAGTAATTGTCTGTCAGCTCAAGGCCTGTTGAATAGAGCTTTAACACAGCCATCTAGCTGTCCCTGTAGTTAATGACAACATCAAGGAGAGATAAAATCTGACTCAGTTGAAGAACAGTGTTCCGTCACCTAACCATAGCCTTGCAATGAAGTTTCTTTGAAATAACCCTGTATCTATGGAAACATCAGGAGGAAAAGAAAAGTACTGTAATCATAGTTTTAAATTTAAAGTGCTGGAAGGTACACTGTAACATGAAACAGGAATTCCCATCAATGAAGAAACCAGACTTACTAACGTTTTTTTAAAATACTGCCTTTATGGTAATTTCAAACCCTTTACACCTAATTTGTCTTTTATAGGTGGTTCATCTGCAATATTTACAAGTGCTAAAGCTCCGAAATAACCCCATCAAATCCATCCCAGGGGAGATCTCTGATATGAGGAATCTTAAATTCTTGACAATGTCCTTCAACCTGCTGACTACTCTCCCACCTGAGTGTGTAATAATTTTAATTAATAATTAGAAATATATGGAAAGAAGCTTTCAAGTTGGGGGAGGGGGGCAAGGAAGCAAAGACTTCTCATAAATTATTGTATTTTTAAAAAGTTATTTTTTAAAAAGCCTATCTGTTTCGACTAAGGTTTTTCACCACAGCTTCAACTTAAGCCTGTCTATCTCATGGGGATGCAGATGAGATGAAGCTGGCAAAACTGGGTTCTGACAGAAAAAGGAAATTACGTTTGTACAAGTGGAGAAAGGCCTGAAGCATAGAGCCTTAGTTCCATTAAAGATTGAAGCCCTGATACAAGTTATTTCCTTAGTTTTCAATACATCAATACAAAGGCTATGAATTTACTTTTAAGAAAACAGCCATTTTAGAAATCTATAGAAAGATAAGACTTTCAATTCTTTTCAATTCTTTCAATACTTAGAGAAAGTATGCTCAGGTGGTAAGATGGATCTTATATTCCATCTCTACTTGCTGCAAACATTATTTGGCCAGAACAGGAGTGAATTCCAGAAGAAGGTAACAGGCTGGATGAGGCAAAATGGCTACAGTAGAACATTTCTGCTTTATAAACAGTTAGGAACCTTATGAGAGCTTCAAAAAAAGGGCCTAGGGGATGATATAAGCTGCCCATGATGTGGGCCACAAATGTTCGTTTGCTTGTTTATTTAATGTAGAGGCCATCTGACTTCTTAGTGACTCTGGGCAACTAACTGTACAATGAAAAGGGGAAAAAATTGTCGCAATAAATGTACCTGTTCACACAACAGGTGTAGCTCACTTAGGAAAACTCAACATCAGAATGACCAAACTCGGTTTTAAAGGCTATGGAACTGACAAGAGTTTTCCTGCTTTTCAGTGATTACAAATGACAGGAAGGCATTCTGTTTTTATAGGCTATTTACCCTGCCAAGTCTTCAGAGTCTTGATGTTTCCTATAATGAACTCGAATATATCCCTAATGAAATACAAAATCTCAGGTATTGTACTGATTTTCCAATTTTGAGAAGAGGAAGACTTTTCTGGGGTCTTCCCAGAAATGTTGCTGGGGTAGTTTCCAGCAGGCCCAACCAGCATAGACAATAGTTGGACAAGCTGACATCTGTGGTTTGGAAACTGTGAAATGTTAGGATTTCCCCCATTTTATAAGTAAGACACATTGGGAGTGGTGTGGTGGCCTAGAAGTGTGAAAGGGACACAGGATTCTGCTTAGACTTAATGAGACTATCTTGAGCTATTTATGCCTTAAATCCTTGGGACCGTGTTAATTTTTGCACAGGCTGTGGTTAAAATAGAGCATTCTGGCAGATTAAGAAAAGCATTCATTGATGCTGAGGCTTTTCTTAATCTGCCAGAATGCTCTGTTTTTAACAAAAGCTCTGTTAAACTCCCCCATAATTCACATAAGAATTAAAGTAGTGTATTTCAGACAACTTTAAAATGTCTGAACTTCAACTCCCAGGATTCCCCAGCCAGCACACCAACTGAGGAATTCTGGGAGTTGAAATCTACACATCTTAAAAGTTGCCAAGTTTGAAAAACACTGAATTAAAGGATGCAAAAAGAGTTGGCAAACAGTAGAACAGGACTCCCACATCTCTAGATTGACACCTACTCTCGATTTGTATCTCCCGTTTTCATTCCCACCGTCTCCACTTTCATTGATGGGAAGGCCTGAAAGATCAGGTTAGGAAAAGATCACCATGGAGAAAATCCATATACTCTCTGAGACCTAACAGTGGCTTGATGGCACATAACCAATTATTCCATCTTCCTTTGCTTCACTGTGTGGGGAAGAAGCTATCCATCTGCCATGGTTCCTGATGAGTGTTGCAAGTAGCTTTTCTCAGCACTTGTCAACTGTGTCTGGTTACAGAGAAATGCGTAGATTTAATGTGGTAGAAGGCAGAGATTACTTTCTCCTGTGCATGTCTTGACAGTGTGGGGAGAAAAGTCAAACAGAGAGTCTTAACTTTCTGTCTTTGTGTGGAGGAAAGCCCCTTAGTAGTGGAGTGGCAACAGTTGCTCCTTGGTGTGGGCTGAAAGGATGGGCTCTGCCAGTTCCCGGTTGCCTGTAAAATTTCAATGGCCAAGATAGTTTTGTTCTCCCGTACCTGGGTATCCAAGAGAACTATGCCCCAAATAGACCCAATGAATGCATAAATGGTAGAGTGTCATTTTCTAAATTCTCAGAAGCCTCGTCTACCTGAACTTGGAAGGAAATCTGCTTTACTCCTTGCCTTGTGGGATTCTGAAACTTCAGTTGAGCCACCTGCTGGTGGAAAACAACTTCTTGCATGCTTGTTTCTGGTCTGAGACTTTCCTGATGCAACCTCAGCGCCTTAGAGACATGGCTGCCGTGTGCTTCGTTAAGCACCAGCTGTGGAAAATATATCATCACTTACCAGAGGAGATTCACTATATCATAAGCGAGTAAGTAAGGTGCCATCACTGCAAGGACTCTATTGAGTGCAAAAAGGAGACGATGAAAAAGCTCACCAATAACCACAGGCCCCAAAAAAATGTCTCCTCAGAGGGAGCCGCCAGTCCGTACCAAAATGAGCAGGACCAGGTTCTGAAAAGTGTTTTAAATAGGGTGGAGCTACATTGACGGCCATTTGTTATGACTCAATAAACTATAATACTGTACTTAAAGTAATGGACTATAGACACTCATCTATTTAAGTCATGGTTCATTGAATAAGGCTGAGGTAATGGAAGGATTTAGTAAATGGGTGAAGCAAACATAGTATAATAAGGTCTTACATTGGCCTAATAAAAAAATAATAAATAAGAGTGACTTAATGACTATGTACGTTTGAAATACAGGCATGTCATTTTTGTATCATTTTTATTTCCACTTTTCCTCCAAGGAGCTCAGCATTATACATATGGTTTCCTCTAGCACTCATTTTCTCTTCAAAGCCACCCTGAGCTAACAAACAGCACCAATCATAATAATTTTTATTAATATCCTACTCAGATTGCATTCCTGTGAATGCACTCTCACAACATATTTAGTTAGAGTTTAGTCATGGTTTATTGTATAAATCAGAATTGGCTAGATTTGTAAATAAAAATGGCTGCATTTATGCAACATGCTAACCCCAAACCAATCAAATTCTATTGTTGCTTAACTGGTTATGTGAACCTGTCAGAAGTTAGACCTGCTGAATCCAATTGAACTTATTCCCAAATAAGACCAGAAAATACAGTTTTTTTCAAAGAACAAAAGAAGTGACTCTAAGACTCCCGAGTTCCAGTCTGACACTGTAACTGAAATTAAAATAAAATGCATCAAATTAAAATGGATGATTTTGTTTATCGACTTGAATATTGATTTCAAGTTATAACTTTAACTTCAGTTTCAGATTTTATCTTTGCATACTTTAAAGATACAGTATCCAAGTGCATATTAGATTTTAAGACAATCTTAGTATGGGTTAATAAAGTAGTCTGTGGACCAGATGCATTCATATATGTTTACCCAAGATAATTTATATTTGGTTCATTTCATAAGAGACAAAATGGCAGCCTTCTGCTTTGCTCTTTAGTGTGCAATGCTAACATTGCAAACTGTGTATCCACAACAGTTCCTTGGGCATAAGGAAATCATAGGTCAATTCCTTCTTCAGAAACCCAATATGAGGCATAGGCATATTTTAACAGTCCTTGATAGATTTCTTCTTTTTCTGCTACAGATTTGTATTAGTTACACTTAGAAAATCCTTTTGAGCAGATTTCGTATCTATATATTTACCGTATATATTTGTGTATTAGCACAGTATAAACCCATCCACAGATAAGCTGACCCTCAGTTATTTTAACCAAAAATAATACGCTTCCCATGGATAAGCTCATCTGCAGTTTTCATGGTATTTTGAATAAAATTTCAAGGATTAGCTTATCCACAGATGGGCTTATATAGAAAAATATACAGGATACTATATATGGGTACTTAAAAAAAATATTACCGTATATTCACATGGATAAATCCATCCATGGATAAGCCAAACCCAATTTTGTGGGTGTATTTGGCACCTAATATTCTCATCTGTGAATTCATCCTTCCTTAGCATAATATTTGTGCAGTACTTGATTCCAAACAGGTTCTGCTTCAGTATTAACTATAAATGACAGATGCCATACCCTTTTTCCCTCCCGGTTTAATTCCCATTCCTAGTTTCACCTCTAAATGGCAGATAGGAATTTAATACATATTTGCTAAAAGTTCCTGCTTTATGGAAACACCATGCAAAGAAAGCTGCACCTGTTAAAAGAGGGTAAAGTATGGTAATGTTACATCATAATATTATACCCTGTGAAGGAGGGTAAAGCATTGCAATATTATAAACCTTACAAAAGCAAATAGCTGTACTTGATGAAGAAAGTATGATGTTCTACTATTGCCTGATCAGGAAGGTTCCTAGACTTGTTTACTCCGATATACTCTGTACTTAGCTGCCCTTGGAAACTGATAACAAGCAGCAATGCCAGCAAGCACATTTTTACCTCAAACCGCACATCTGCCCTAGATTTTCCGTAGCGAGTTTAAAAGATCTGCTTCAATTTGCTCTCCCTAGTATGTGACACTGACCTACTTTCTCCCTTTCAGCTTTACAGGCTGCGATTGCTGCATGGGGCCCTTGTATGGAAAAGGCTTCCGTTTTATCCTCATTTATAGGAATGCTTACGGACTAAGGCTCCCGTATCAATTTTCAGCTTGCTCACCAGACTGCTATACAGCCTTTGTCAAGTCAGCTGTGCCAACCTGATGGGTGTTAATGTTTCGTCAACTGAGATTCAGAAGTGAATAACCAGTTGAATAAAGCAAGCAAGCAGTGCTTTGGGTATGGGATTTTTTCCCCCCCCAATGTAGATCTCTGGTGGGGTGAGGGTGTCTAAGCATTACTGTGACATTCAAAGTCCAGTTATTTATATATCATATTGAGAAACTGCCCATCTCCCTCCTAGAGGACTCTGGGTGTTCTCTTGATTAGTACGCGCATCTGTAAGCCACGTTGTGAAAATCCTAGTTTCCAGCTTTTAACTAAAAAAAAAAAAGAGTAACATTTTAAGTCTTTTAATGTAAGTTAGTATTCGGGATTTGGGGATCCTTTTTCTTAGCACAACCTACAATGTCATTAGACAGATTGTAAATATGATCAAAGGGATATATGTGTGCATCTGATAGGTATAATGCTACTTTTTACTGTATATTCTGCCTTGTAATAAAACAAAACACTATGTATGTACTGATACATTGCTTGTTAGTGTGCTTTTCCTTGCTTTAGGACAAACTAAATGATGGGCATCTAGAATCATGGTATACTGTATGTATGAGGCAAGATAATCACAGCCATTTTACTCATTAGTTTCTTGTGCTGTTTGTAGAAATTTAAATAAACTCAACCAACAAATGTAAGAAGCAGTGCATTTAGAATGCAATAGATAACACTTTGGTCAGGATACGAGATGATACCAATTATACTTGAGGCTTTTGGAATGTAACATTTGCACAAATCTTAGTTTTGCATGGCTTATAAAAACATTGTTTGCAGATGTGTATATTATGTAGACTTTCTGTGAGTCTAAGATTAAATTTGACATTACGAAGTTCTCTTGACTGCTACCCCAATGGTAATCAAAGTTACTGTAACCCAAGTTGTTTGTGAAAATCCCGGGATCACTTCCTTTGACTCTAAAGCAAAAATATGATGCTGTAAATACCATTTTCTTATTAATTTGCCCATTATGCATCTGGCAAAACAAGCCCTTCTTTGAAGCTATAATAAATAAAATCAGGACTCAAATGTTATTTGCTATAGCAAGCTATAAAAGGCAGAATGCAGAAAAAGACTCCAACCCTTCTGCAAATGTGCAGAAGGTGCTTAATTATATTCCTTGCCACCTCTCCACAACTAAATGAAATAGCCTTTTACTGAAAAAAAACATTGATTGGTTTTGAAATGTTTCCACTTTCTCATTTCCATTCAAAAATACATATACTGTAGTAAGATGCAAGCATGACATATACCTAGGGACATAAACATGAAAGAAAGTGTGTAGATTTATACATCTGTATTACAATTGCAGCCTTTATTGCTTTGTGTTATTTGAAAGAGTGATGTCTAATTTCAAGTTAGACATGCATATTAAAAATATTTGTTTTGAATCATCAAATCAGGACTTCATTGCAGTTTGCAGAAATAGTAATCACAGGCAGAGCTTTTGTTGTTTATTTCCACTGATCTCTTCAAGGTTTTTCACTGTCAGACATTCCCATAGCTAGACTCAGTCAAGCATTGAGGTATTTGGCATGGTGCCTGATATGGTCATTAATGAACGTTGTGATAAAGTAGTAACTGTGATCGTAGCCCTAAAGAGAGAAAAAGACCAGGTGGCTTCAAAAAACTAAGCAAAAGGTCAAAAGCATATGCATATAAAACTACTTTACAACTATCACTCTGGCAGGAGAATATATTCTCTACCACTAAGGAAAGCTGAATTACAAGCACATAGATCGTAAATCATCTCCTTAGGAGTTTCTCAAATGAACAAGAATTTAAGGCTTTAATCTCATACAATAGATACCCAGTTGTAAACAAGCTTCAAAGGAAAGCATAGGATTGTAGTATAAATGTTTAATATTTCTTTTAAAACATAATTAACGTCCAACTGGGTGCACAATGTTTCAAACCTGAAACACCTCTTCACTATTACTGTAAGTGTGCTGATCCTGTTCCAATCATTCTGGAAATGTTCTAAATACTTGTAAATTGAAACAGCCATTCCAAGTTTGGAATGGTTCCAGAACAGTCAAAACTCCTTGGAATAAGTTAGAGAAGCCATTTCAAACTGTAAACAATTGCTGAATTTGAAAAGTCTTCCACACCCTTAGTTTTCTCCTCTGTGCACAGTATTTAATCTCATAGCAGTCTCTTGTTCATTGATATCACAAACTCAAAGTTACATCTTAAATCTTTAAAGCCACTGAAAGCAGTGTCAATCCTAAACCTAACCAGGCAGTGGCTGTTCCTGCAACATTGCACGATAAACTGGACTTCTGAAAGACTTCCTATGAATTCGTCGAGTACCTGACATGTAATTCTTTTTCTCCTACTTTGCTCCTCCCTTCTAAAAGGTTTTATTTGAATTGATATTGCACGGAACGCACAGAAATTATAATCCAAGTACACACATTTTTTTGTATGATTTCTAATTTGGTTTGGGAGCGACAAACCAGAACAAAGAGCTCCTTTTTCCAAGGAAAAGCAATTCATTTTACTGGTAATGAATGGGCTGCAGAAAAAAATGCAGCTGATTCTTAGCAAGCTAGAATTTGCCAGGGTAGGGAGCAAAGCCCAGAAAAAGTCTGATTAACCACTAACATTCCTAGATGCTTTAGGCTCAACATTTAGTAAGATGGAAAAATCTGTATGATACACAAATCTAACACCTAGATCCGTGATGGGGAACCTATGGCACGCGTGCCACAGGTGGCACGCAGAGCCATTTGTGCCGGCACGCGAGCTGCAGGCAAACTTACCTCACTGCGTATGTGTGTGCCTGACAGCTGATTTTTGGTGGGTTTGAGGCCTTTTTCGGCCTCCCAAAGGCTTGAGGAAGACTTCTGCAGGCTGAAATCTAGCCCCGTTTCATCACTTCCAGTATTTTCAGAAAAACAGGAAGTAATGAAACGGGGCTAGATTTCGGCCTAGAAAGATTGTAGAAGCCTGCAGAAGCCTTCCTCAAGCCTTTGGGAGGCCGAAAAAGGCCTCAAACCTGCCAAAAATTAGCTCTGAGGCGCAGTGCAGGGTGGCGGGGGTGGGTGGGTGGGAATTGCACGCGCATGCGTAGGGGACGTGGAGGGCACGCAAATTGCCTTCTGGGTGCTGGCACATGAGTACGAGCGTGCAAGCGCTCATTCAATTTTTGGCACAGGAGCCCTAAAAGGTTAGCTACCACTGACCTAGATTTTGAGATTGTAGGAACCGATATAGTCATTTAAAAAATCATTTAATTAAATTATCACTTTTTACTTATCTTTTCAAATAAGATTTAAGCACTAGATGCAAATAAATTAAAACCCAGTTCTGGAGCATTACCTGCTGCAACCTAAAAACGACTGGGATTTTCCGTTCTGTGCAAGCAGCAATGAAATTATCGGGTAGCAACTGTCCTGCTGTAAGGAACTGATCATCTTTGCCTTGGTCTATTAGAATATCCAGAGGAGAGCCTTGGTAAGATTTTGCAATGTGTGTGGCATCATAGGCCTATAAGGAAAAAAAAAATGCATTTGCTTCTAACAATAGCATCAGCCTGGCCAGATTAAAAGGTGAGAAAGACAAGGGAGACTGCAGACAAAAGGCAATTTCATGCAACAGACTTATAACCACTTGGCATCTATTAGCTACAATGAAATGCATATGATTTGAATTCTCTTCTGTTTTAAAGCCCCAAGAATGGAACAAGTTCCCTTTCCTTTGTAGCCACTATCAGCTGGAAGAATAAAATAGTTTCAATCTGGCATTCATCTGTCAGAATTATTAAACAGAAGGATCTAGTATTCCAACTTCACATTTTCCGGGCATCAACCAATAAAGATTATATATTTTTTTTCTGGCAGTAGCTGCTTTAAAATCAACATCCAGATTGTAAATTGTTAGCTATAAAATGATAGTTATAATTACAACATTAATAACTCAGTCAAAAATAAATGAATAAGAAACAATAAAATCTACAGGTGTACAAAAGTTTTCAAATTGAAAATATGTCTTGTCTTCCAAGCAAACTATTTCCAACCATATCTAAGTTGGAAACACTTGTACCTGAAAAACAAGAACATTTCTAAAATGAAAACAAATGATAAAGCGGTTAATTTTGAATGGGGAACTGATTGCAACTCAGAATGGAAGTTTCAAATTTGAAATGATCTGAAATAAAAATACTGCATACCATTAACAAAACTGATATAACAAGTGTTCTTCAATGCTAAAAGCTGACTTGCATACCTTTGTCTGCTGGTGGAATCACAAATGGACTCTACAGGGTTAGTTTTGAAATGGTAGATTGATATTTTTAAAAAACAATTGCAACTTATTCTATATTATTTATGTGACAACATTTTCAGTACATACTTCCCAATTTGTTGTGTTTGATCCTAGATATCCACTAAAAGCCTTTTTCCCCCATGGACACTGCATTGGGTTGCAGATTGGAGCAAATGCTGAAACAGACTATTTAAATATTGATGATTAATGCATAACAATGTGAAATTATTTTTCTTCAAATAAACATTTATGAAGTTGTCATTTACAGAATTCCAGAACATAGTTATTTTCCCACTTTGATAAACCAACATTATTCCACCGTCATGATTATTGTGTGCATGCGCGCACACACACACACACACATTTATTTAACCTACATAGCTGCTTATTACACACAGTGCTCCTAGGGAGGTTTAACAACCAATAAAAACCAGAATAAAAACAAAACAACTCTTCCCCCACCAGGTGCCAGACCAACCAGACTTATCAATTATTCCTTGATTTAATTTGACACATTAAATAGTTTGAATCTTACTTTATATTTTCCAGGATTCTTTAGAGCAAGGATGAGAGCCCCATGGCCTCCCATGGAATGGCCTGAAATTGACATCCTTCCAGAATCAACTGGGAAATTGGCATTGATCAGAATAGGTAACTAATAGACAAAGAAGATAAAGACAAAGGAGAAGAAGAAAGTCACCATACTTACATTTTCTCCTGCATAAAATGAAAACACATATTTACTTTCATCTACATAGAGATAATTGTTTACTTTGTCAATCACTGTGTCTAAAAGTGGCAGGTTTACAGCATACAAGTCTTTTTTTAAAGATACAGATGAATAAATCATTAGTAAATTTATCATGGATGTAGTTTTAAAGCCCTTAATATATTAAGGGAGCATTCCAGAAGCATGGTAACTTCTTCCATCCTCAATGAAACGTATGTTGTATTTCTTTCATTGAAGTAAACCAGAAAGTCACACTGGTCTGAGATCAGATTGAGATAAATGAGAGAAAATTACACTAGCACATCTTTACCTAATACCTACCTACAATGTGTAATTATATTATGGTAATTGTAGATCTCTCTCTCTCTCTTTCCCAACTCCCCCTTCACTTTTTTCCCACCCTCCCTTTTTCATCAATTCATTTATTATCAGCATTTCTCCAACATTTGGGGTAGGCATCCTGTCCCTTTACTTCGTAACACCCAGTGTCCTGTGTGCGTGACTTGCAATTATTAAAGAAAAAACATTTATTGCACATTTATTTATTTCCTAACAATTACAAATACATACAGTTACGTCATAAAATTACAAGTCATCATAGTAATAATTTAATAAAGTGTAACCAAATGTGCAGCTCATGTGAATCATATTGTTGCACTACTATAATACCCAGCACAATTGTATGCTTCACAGTATGCAGTCAAAACAATCCTAAGCGTGACACTATTTTAAGCATCTAAAGTTTGATATATTTATAACAATCAAAGTTTACAGTTTTACACAATAAACATTTGATGGATAAGTGATGCATAATCTTCTGCTTCCATTATCCTAATCCCACTCCTCCTGTTGGCCTCTTGTCATCTAATGCCCCCCTCCCGCCCCCCCAGCTGTCACATTAAATAATTCAAATGTCCTCCAGGGGACAATATCGCTCATTTTAAAGAAACACTGATTTAGATTAATGTAATTCAAATTACCTCATCTTTTATGTAAGAATACATGCGATAATTTGTTTTCCATAATTCTTCTGTGGCATCTACATAAAAACCGGCTCCAGTGCCAAAATCCCAGCTCTCGTCTTCTCCTTGAATGTTGCATCCACCTGCCAGGGAAAGAAATGTTACATCAATAATCAGCAAAGTACAGGAACGGAGGCCGATACTTTGTCTTCATGAAGAGCAGGGCTAACCACAAGGCTAGGGGGAAAATATCTGTCTCAAAA